AAACTCTTCCTCCTTAGATTCACCTGCTGCCTCTGTGTTTCATGACAGGTGGAAGGTAAAGAAGATGCTTTTTCACCAAACTACATTATAAATACAGCAGAAAACAGAGAAAGTAGGTGTTACTAACTTCTCCTCACATTATGGAGAACACACTATCCCTGTCTGTTTACTTGACATATAATACATGTAAAAATGTATTGCAAAATACAAGTGAGAACCGATCGATGATACAAATACTTCTTTTGACTCATTCATTTATCGTCCAGTTAGCACGACGAGAGAGCAGGTTTTTACCTCGTCACCAAGTTATTTCTTTGCTGTGCCACTTTCTGCTGTGACCAGGTTTCGGTCGTGTCCTGTTCATGCCGGCGCTTTTTTCATAAACTCAAAGCTATAATTTCTGCAACTAATATTTACTGTAGGATTCTGTTTCAAGCAGCGGCTGTTTACAAACTCTTCTAGGTGGTTTCAGTCACCTCTCAGTGTCAAATCAAACTTTGGAGACAAACCATAAAGACAAAGGGACATTGTGAAAATGATGCAGTAATTTATTACATTTTAAACACACGTGCAGGTCTGATCGAGACGAATCGACTGATTGGCATCGTCTGTTCTCAAGTTATCAGCCTATAAAGCATGGGACTTCTTTAGGTCATAGGAATATTGATCAATATTATTTTGTAAGAAAAACTCCAGTAAAAGTGAACATGTAAACAGTAAATATGGCCAAAACATGGACATTCACATTTTAATTGTATAATAACTTTTGTATTTTAGTATCTTTTCATCAAATTTACAGCTACAGGTGTCTTCCAGGTGTATTAGAAGATATTAATTTGCATTATAATCTACAGGATGATGGTTTTGATGGTGATGTTGCAATTAAAATAAAGATTTTATACCAGGCGTGGATGAATATATCATATTTTCCTTTTCTCCATTTAGTCTGTAATGGCAAAATAAATAGGTTTAATTTATTGAATAATCTTCCTTAGCTTCTGACCTTTCAAAGGAGACCAGATTTATGTATCTAGGCCTAATGGTTGAGGAGTTATTCCTGATTCATTCTGTGCATTTAAGCTGTTTTTCCTGGAAATAGGTGGAAGTTTCCAAGAGGTTAAATATTTCTGACATCCCCTAAACCCTCCAAAATAAGGCCGTGCATCATAATTAACATGATAAAAATATAAGTCTTTATAAGTTGGTTTTCAAACTGAAGTGATCCAGCGGCCACCACCGTGTCAGTCTGAGATTCACAGCTCTTACGTTAACATTCAGATATAGAAACCATCCGCAGATGTTCAGGCCTCGGCTCTAAACTCTCCTCTTCAACATGTTAACTGCCTGATGTTGAAAAGCTTTCATCAGCTGTTAACAGAGTCTCTCTTTCTCAGGCCAGTTAACCCTGTCTGCATACCTGTCTCCTCGTCTTCTCTTCCTCCGTGTACCTGTCTTTCTGTCCGTCACACTTCCTGCCTCTCTAACCACGACTCATATTACCTTGTGGGCTCGACCACAGGATCTGGACTAACTAGTGGAGATTGATGATTTAAATCCTGTGATTTTGATATTTTCTTCACCTGCACGTCATAATTCAAGCATGAATTCTGCCTTTACACTGTGTCGTGGGTTAAAACAGCGAACTGCTGGGATAAACCGCCAGACGGTCGTCCAGCGGAGGTGTGCGATGTCTGAGCTTCTTACTGACTGATGTTTGTGTTGGAATGCGGGCAGAGCGAGGATTAGCTGGGTAATCCCCGACCAGAGCAACGCTAATCCTCAACCTCCTCCCTCACACCTCTGGACAGTAAGCCGTTCAGACGCTGCACAGGATGTATGTGTGTGTTCATTACTGCTAGTTTGCTGAGAGACTTGTGTCCTTCAGGTTCTCTAGAGATAGAAAAACAGACGTGCAACAAAGAGTGAGGCTGAAGGTCACAGATGTTTAGAAAAGCTCAGAACCTGTTCTATCAGGGTTGTTTTAGAAAGGAAGTGGTGCTGCGGCAAAAGTGTTGGTGGTTCAAAGCAAAGCAATGTTTTCACGTTCATAAATTAGCTAATTTAGCTAGTTCACAGACTGTCTGCTCCTTCTTGGGCTCACTAAAGTCATTACACATGCACATTGCATCGTGACAACAGGGTCTTTTGCAGAGGTTCGTTTTCATCATATTGACTTCTCCCCAAACAAACTGCATACCGTAAAACTTCAACTGGTAGCTGGGTCCCAAACAGCCGCCTGGCCCGTTTACTGGCCTGGTGTGGGAACACATTTTGATAAACGCAGGTCTCCATTAAACACTGAGCTAGAGTCCAAGTCAAGTCTCAAGTCTCTGAGCTAGAGTCCAAGTCAAGTCTCAAGTCTCTGAGCTAGAGTCCAAGTCAAGTCTCAAGTCTCTGAGCTAGAGTCCAAGTCAAGTCTCAAGTCTCTGAGCTAGAGTCCATTTAAGTCTCAAATCTCTGAGCTAGAGTCCAAGTCAAGTCTCAAGTCTCTGACCTAGAGTCAAAGTCAAGTCTCAAGTCTCTGAGCTAGAGTCCAAGTCAAGTCTCAAGTCCCTGAGCTAGAGTCCAAGTCAAGTCTCAAGTCTCTGAGCTAGAGTCCAAGTCAAGTCTCAAGTCTCTGAGCTAGAGTCCAAGTCGTTTCAAGTCTCTGAGCTAGAGTCCAAGCCAAGTCTCAAGTCTCTGAGCTAGAGTCCAAGTCGTTTCAAGTCTCTGAGCTAGAGTCCAAGCCAAGTCTCAAGTCTCTGAGCTAGAGTCCATTTAAGTCTCAAATCTCTGAGCTAGAGTCCAAGTCAAGTCTCAAGTCTCTGAGCTAGAGTCCAAGTCGTTTCAAGTCACTGAGCTAGAGTCCAAGTCGTTTCAAGTCTCTGAGCTAGAGTCCAAGCCAAGTCTCAAGTCTCTGAGCTAGAGTCCAAGTCAAGTCTCAAGTCACTGAGCTAGAGTCCAAGTCAAGTCTCAAGTCACTGAGCTAGAGTCCAAGTCAAGTCTCAACTCTCTGAGCTAGAGTCCAAGTCAAGTCTCAAGTCTCTGAGCTAGAGTCCAAGTCAAGTCTCAAGTCTCTGAGCTAGAGTCCAAGTCAAGTCTCAAGTCTCTGAGCTAGAGTCCAAGTCGTTTCAAGTCTCTGAGCTAGAGTCCAAGTCAAGTCTCAAGTCTCTGAGCTAGAGTCCAAGTCGTCTCAAGTCTCTGAGCTAGAGTCTAAGTCAAGTCTCAAGTCTCTGAGCTAGAGTCCAAGTCAAGTCTCAAGTCTCTGAGCTAGAGTCCAAGTCGTTTCAAGTCTCTGAGCTAGAGTCTAAGTCAAGTCTCAAGTCTCTGAGCTAGAGTCCAAGTCGTTTCAAGTCTCTGAGCTAGAGTCTAAGTCAAGTCTCAAGTCTCTGAGCTAGAGTCCAAGTCGTTTCAAGTCTCTGAGCTAGAGTCCAAGTCAAGTCTCAAGTCTCTGAGCTAGAGTCCAAGTCGTTTCAAGTCTCTGAGCTAGAGTCTAAGTCAAGTCTCAAGTCTCTGACCTAGAGTCCAAGTCAAGTCTTAAGTCTCTGAGCTAGAGTCCAAGTCAAGTCTCAAGTCTCTGAGCTAGAGTCCATTTACGTCTCAAATCTCTGAGCTAGAGTCCAAGTCAAGTCTCAAGTCTCTGACCTAGAGTCCAAGTCAAGTCTCAAGTCTCTGAGCTAGAGTCCATTTAAGTCTCAAGTCTCTGAGCTAGAGTCCAAGTCAAGTCTCAAGTCTCTGAGCTAGAGTCCAAGTCAAGTCTCAAGTCTCTGACCTAGAGTCAAAGTCAAGTCTCAAGTCTCTGAGCTAGAGTCCAAGTCGTCTCAAGTCTCTCGTGGTTATTACGAATGTTGTATCACCTGCTATGTTCAATCCAGACTGCTTATAAAACTGCATGGCTATAAGGGATTCTGTAACTGTAACGCTACATGATCAACAATAAACCTTTTTGCAGCCAGCGGGACGTAAATGATTACGTTAATTGACCGCCACAAGTTTGGCAAGTAAACAAACGCTCATTCATCTTTTCATAACGAACGCCAGTCGGAGTTAACCTCTCGTAGGTTTTTATTTGAACCCAAACCACAATGTTTTCCTAAACCTAACCAAATCGTGACCTTAACTATTAGTTTTATTTTGAACGGTGCACATTTATTGTTGCTAACTTGACAGCAGAGCCCTACACATCCAAAATGACCGGTGCATTAAAAGCTGACTCCAAGGGGCCTAGCGTCCACATGCGACGAGTTGGAAGTGAGAATATTTTTTGTGTCTTCGGACGTCCTCCATGCGTTCCTGCCAAGTGTCAATAGACGATTTCCTTTTATGTTCAACTACAATACTGCAAGTTTGGCAAAACAGTTTACCACTGCTTTAGTAAAAAAGATTCAGACACTGTTTTTCACTGTCCTCTTTTGTTTTTGACCGCAAATGTGAGACGTTGTTATCACATAATGTATGTCTGCTGTGACAAGTGAAAAGCTGACGTATGACGACGTTTTTGTGCGTAACGGCGATGACGGGTCAGATTTGCAGAGATAGGTGAAAAATTGCAAGTCACGCTGAATTCACGGGTATTAGCGATTGCAACATCACAAAATCCCTGAGGGACTGATAGATAGACAGATAGATAGAGAGATATTCTGTTACCATTCTGTTATCCAGTAACTCAGACTGTACAAACATGGATTAAACAAACAATTAATAAATAAATGAGTAAAAGTGCCATCAGAGCCGTTGATTCTCTTCGATACTTAGTTAACAAATACCTGCAGAACTAATGCTAATGATTATCGATTGTCTCTTTTTGTGTCATGTCTTTACACTAAAAATGTTCTCTGATTAATTTATTGTTGCTTTTTCAACAAAAACAATTGAGTCACTCTTATTTGTCTTATTTATATATGTCCACTAATTTTCTTCATCTGGACCCCTCAGAAAACTTTACGTCATATATTTATAGTTTGTGACTTTGGGTCACCTCACACCTCTGCCCTGTGTGTCCCTCCCGCTCTACCGTACAGTGTCTGGACTTCGGCGAGGGCTCGGTGACGGGGGACATGTGTGAGGACCTGTGTGTGCTCGGCCTGATCGAGTACAAGCGCTGCCTCTACTACGAGAACGGGAAGAAGGTGATCGAGGCGCGCTGGAGAGGAAACCCCGTCATTCTCAAGTCTAAACTGGAGAACTTCTCCTCCTACGAGCCACTGGGAATACTGGACTACCAGGTGATGTCTGCTTTCATTATTGATCCGGGGAGGCTCAGCTGGATCAATTAATCTCCTCCCCTCTCTCCAACAGGACACAGCAGAGGAGCTCTCCCCTCTTGATGTGGTGTTCTACGCCACTTTGGAAGTAAGTCATCAGGCACTGGGTGCTGCAGCCCCATCGCTGTGTGCAAGTTCACAGTACATGTTCCTTTCCTCTGATCTCAGGTACGAAACTCTCTGGGGCTGGCTGAGGAGGACGAGGATGAAGAAGGAGGAGGAAATAACAGCTCTCTGGCCAGATTTTGGGGGAAGAAGTTGAAAAACAGAGATAAGAGTTACTCCAGAGCCGAGCTGGCCTCACTCTGGTCTCTGCTGCAGCAGGAGGAGTACACCTTCCTCAGGTAAAACAACAACGCGCGTCACGCAGGGAACCACTACCCCTGAAGTCATACCTCAGGAAAGTGGCCGTGAGAAACATCGGACAAGATTCTGCTGTCAAAACGGATGTTTCAGGTGTTAAATGACATCAAGTTTACAGTCAAGGATGGTGCAAATAAACCAAACGGACCGCTGAGTCCCACTAGAGGCAGCTTCTACGCTCATTAACCCACATACTGATAATTTTACTTTATATTAATTTGTAATTTCAATCATAAAGATTAAAACAGTAATATTTCTTCTTCAGTATCACAATCACAATAACACACAATTAGATGAATGGATGCAAGTTGATTAAACTAGCTTCATATGTGTGTGTATGTTTGTGATATCTGCCTTTATAAAATACAAATTAAAAAATAAAATGAATAGGCAGATGGCCGCCCACCCTGAGCCATGGTTCAGCTCGAGGTTTCCTTGCCTCTGTCGCCTGGTGCTGCTCTTGGTGGGAATTGTTGGGTTTCTGTAAATAACATCACAGAGTACGGTTGAATAATAATAATCATTTTAAAGTGAAAGCTAGAGGACAGCTCATGTAGCTTCAGAAATGTGAGGCTCATCCTCTGCAGAGCATGACAGAACTCAGGATTAATCATGGTAGTGTGCACTTTCATTTTGGCATCAAGGTGGCACTAGAGGAAAGGTCAACAAAATCATTAGGATTAATCCTCTGGAGCAAAATAACATGTTCTGTCTTCTTAGCTGTGCACTGAAGTCTCACCAAATCCCACCCTTGCAAATGTCAGATATTTTGTGAGCAGAGCTGGAGGACGAAAGGAGAAAGACGCTCAGACACTGAACAGGCTGGAAGCCAAAACTCCAACGGGTCCAAAAATAAAACCGGCGATGCGAGGTGACCTGTGCTGCTGCTTATCTGGAGGACGCAGACAGCGCTGCAGTGTCAAATGGAGTTAAGGATATGACAAACAGAACTGTGTTGGTGTGTGAGGTACTTGGGAGGGAGCTGGATGGATGTAGGGACAGAAACAGCAGAGGAAAGGAGGATAACAGGCTGCTGTGGATTTGTCTGACATGTAGAGGACGTGATATTAGCTCATAAATCAATCTACAATTACCTGCAGCTCATACAAGCAGAGGTTCTCCTGTGGTTGTCTGTTGTTATCTTGGAAATGAGGCTTATGGCCCTCAAATGTGCCGTAAAACTCCAGGTTGTTTGGTCGCCTGTAGCACCATAAAGCAGTAAGTTAGACAAGCAGGATGACTCGTACAGACCAGTTTGAATTGCTTTCCAATTAAACGGCTAATCCAGCAGCTCTGTGAGGAACTTAGCAGTGCTTTGAGCTAAATGCTAACATTAGCATGCTAACAGGGTTGCCAACTGTCCCGTATTAGCCGGGATGTCCCTCACATCCCATACGTGACCTCTCTTGTCCCGTTTATTGACTGCTACGCTGATCTGATACAGCAGCAGCAGCAGCAGCAGCGCTGATCACGACACTTGACAATGGTCACCAACACCTGTCATCATCCAATCGCAGCCCCCCTCTCTCTCGCCTCAGCGTACGTTAAGTAACGTTAAATGCAGCTACTGTGGACAAAGTAGCGGCAAGTCAAGTCTCGTAGTGTAAGATGCACTTGGTTAGAACGAAAGCCGAGATGATCACACTGAATGTTTTAGGAGCATATCCTGAATGATCCTGAAGGTCACCAACGCCACCGACGCCTCAACCAAGGGAAACAGAAAAAGGTTTCCAGCGTGCTGTGTAAGATATTTTTCTGTGTCTGCTGGTGGGCGGCGCAAGTTACTTGACTTTTATGAAGATAGTGATGAAATGGTAAATGGTATTCCTCAAGTTCTGATGAACTGCCTGAAAAAGCATGAACTGGAAATAAAACACATCAAAAGTAGCTTTGTTCTTTTCAGTTTTCAGACAACCTTTTGTAACCTACAGTGCAAGAGCCACAAGAGCTTTGACAGATAGGAAAGGTAACAGGTAGTGGTTCAATTAGAGGACTGTGTTAAAGGTACCTGCTGTAAATAAACTATTATTAAACCTAACGAATGTTTAACCGGTATAAAGTATAAACCTCAAGGTGGCTCTACATGAAACTTAAGGGGATCGCCAAAGTCAGTGGGATTCATCCTCTGGGCTCATTGAATGTCTCCACAAAACTCTTTGGCAATCCGTCCAATATTTGAGTCTGGACCAAGCTGGTAGATCGATTGACTGATCGCCATCCCTACAGCAGCGCAGCTAGCATGGCTACAAGTCTGAAGACACACAAATATAAATATAGGATAACCTCATCCTGTGTAGCTACTCAGAAACATAGTGATGGTTTAAGCACGATCCAGCTGCACAGAGACAGACATGCATAGACGCTTTTTCAATCTAAAACCTGACCTGATGAGAAATCAAGTTATGTTGCAGAGAGGGAGCAGGCAGACTGAGGAGGCTTTTCATTGCACTCAGGAACAAAACGCTGGAGCGAAGAAGCTACATTTATCTGAAATGTTTAGAAAGCTGAATTTATCCACAAGCTACAAAGACCCACTTCACTCCGACATGAGCGGCTCGGAAACAGAGCCTGAAGTGTTTCCAGCTCAGTGTTCGTTTGTTTGTACTGATGATTCAACCAGAACACTTTGAAGTCCGATCAAATGACCAGCTGCTCTCTGTTAGGCGGTGAAAACTTTAAAACTGCTACTGCTCCTTCATCTGTCCTCCTCTGTCCTCCAGAGTCCTGCAGGACCTCAGCCCCCACGTGGCCAAGGTGTTGGGCTCCTGCGGTCACTTCTACGCTGTGGAGTACCTGTCTGCCGGACACGCCTGGGACCAGAACATCTTCTCCCTGGAGGAGGTGGTTGTTTCTGGGCTGCAGGGTCAGGGTCAAGCCGGACAGGGAGCCCGCGGGAGGTGGACCGCCAGGGAGATGGTGCATCGCATCGCGCTGAGTTTTCTGGACATGGTGTGGCACTTTGACAACGACTTCACCCACAAACTGCACCTCTGTGACATCAAACCGGAGAACTTTGCCATCAGGAAGGACCTGACGGTGAGTCTGCATCTACGTTTCGATTCACTCTGAAGGCCAATGACTCACAGTGAAAACCAGCGAGCCGGTCTCAATGGCCTTAATGTTTTCTGAGGATGTAACGAACGTCAGCAGAATAAAAGCAAAGCAGAGAGCCGGAAGAAAAGAGATAAAAGGGATGTAAAAAAAAAGCTATTAGAGAGAGCAGAGATGGAAGTCAGAGCGGTCGGCAGATTACGTGAAGTTTTTCTTGAAGAGATGTTTTTTCAGCCCAAAGCAGATGATGTGACCCTGGGAAAGAGAAGGTCGTTCTGCATCTCCTGAACGCTACGCTGACACAGACTTACAAATCTTTTGAAATACGTTCAGTAGCTTTGAGGTTCAGGGAGAAACTTTCCTTAAAAGCTTCAGTTAAGTTAGAAAAGGTCATCTGTTCAATAAATCTCTGCATTATTTAAAGCACATTTAGTTTCCTTGATATAGTCCTGATGCTGTACGTTAATGTTTCCCCTTTCTTTGAAACAGCAACCTTTTTGATAAAACCACTTTAGGCTGTGTTATAATATCGACTCGATCACGCAGTCTCAAAACCAAACAGATGGTTGAATCTACCTTGAAAAAGTTGTTCAGTCAAGCCCAGAAGAAATCCAAAGACGGGTTTGAGCAAATAATTGAGTTACAACAAACCGTTGTCTTTGAAGAATTTATTAACAAAAAGAGAATAAACAGAGAAGTACTCAAACACATGTACAGCTGGTCCAGAGACCTGCCGCCTAGGGCAGCTTCGGGCGTCTGGCCCCGAGCAAAGGGATGCATCATCATTTACACAGTCTAGGTTTCTATGTTTTGGGGAACAGAGATCCTCTCTCGGCCTTGACTGAACATTCAAGGAGAGGAGAGGAACAACAAGAGAGGAAAACACCAAAACTATCTCACAGCTCTGACCTAAACCCTAGGAAATGTGGACAGACTAAGGAGTATAGAAGAGGAAAGGTTAAGGATAAAAACACAATACATAAATATCTATGAGACATAACAATAAGAGTAATAATAATAATATTAAAAGAACATATATAAACTTGTAATATAATGTAATATAAAGGTCTCATTTCCATCTGATTATTATTATTAAACAAGCTAATTTGTTATTTTTGAGAACGCTTCAGATTTACTTCTCATCTCATGTGAAAAAAATAAAAAACTGCTGGACTGAAAATGAAGCTACATTTTCTTTGAAAACAAACATCATCATCTCTTAGTCACTATGAATGACTTTATAATGTTCTCTAACTGACATGGTCCTCCTTTATTATTCATCTGTATTATTAAAAGTTGAAGTTTGCTTATTTTAGCTCTAACAATAAATCCAAAGACCCCGAGAAAACAAACCTGGCGTCCTCCCGTCAGTCACAAATCAAAGAAAAGTTTACATGAACCACAAGCAACTGGTTCGAGCTGCGCTGAGATTATAAAGCAACACTCTTGTTTTCTCAGCGCTCTCAGTTGGTTTTATGGTTTATGCAGCAGAATGAGGCAGACTGTCATTAATTCAACGCCATGTTAGGTCTGCGCTGGGCTCCGGGCCAACCATCACAACTGAATCTAAACTATTTTATCTTTCTTCAGGCTCGTGATTACTGGAAAATAAGCAAATGTGGAGTTTGTAGCTCCAACAAATAGGTGGTCAAGTAAACCGCCGGCTCATTATTGCTCTTATGGTATTAGCAGGATTAGTGTTTTTTCCTATAAAAATGTTGACTTGGAACAGATTAAACAGCTCGTTTATAATGCCAACCTTGTAAAATGTTGCAAAAAAACAAGAACTGCCACCTGTTCACCACAAATACAGGAAGACGTTCATGTGCAGCCAGAAAGGCTCCATTTACTTACTGTATAGTCTATACTGTTCTTCTTGTGTATCTACTAACACGGATATTGTCTTCCTCTGTGCATCAGAGCTCCATCGTTGTCCAAAAACAACATTGTACTGGTAACTTTCACACATCAAGATAGAAAGTAGAGATAAGGACGTGCAGGATAAGCAAACAAAACGGGCTGTAACAACAGAGAGACAAACCTGGCCCGAGGCTGAGAGGAGGCACCTGCCAGCAGATCAGCTTCAAGTTTCACCAAACCAAACTCACTTCACTTCAGCAGCCGCTAAGAATACAGACAGGACACAAAGTACATTAATATAATATATACGGTATATATAACGTAAAAAAGAAAAATATAGCATCAAACAGAGAACTGCCAGGTTTTCTTAATATTCTAAAGTGTGGAGTTTGTGTTTAAAAAAAAAAAACATCCTAAACTTTACACCTCAGTGAATAATTTCACTTTGACTTGAAACCCTGAAATTACCAAACTGATTTATAAACATCCCCAAATTGTCAATAGTACATTTTCAGTGTTTAATTGTAATCAATTAACTATTTGTTTTCTTTAAAAAAAAAAAAAAATGTTATAAAATGATCATAAATAATTCCCAATTTGTAAAATGTATACAGCGAATATTTAAATAAGCTATTGTAAAAGTTTCCCACAAAATGTTTATTATGTCTAATTATTTGTAATGTTAAAATTCATTGTGGAGGCCTAAATGTCTGCACTGTCTGACACTTGCAAATGAGGAAATACAAAATGTAAACCTTACTTTGGTGTCTCTTTTCATTAAACTCTTCCATTTTTTTGCTTTTTACAAAATAAACCAAAACAAAGAGGATTATCTTCGGTAGATAATCAGAATAAATATGAAACTAAATTTAAATCATACTTTAATCCTCTCCCAACTAAAAATAAATCTTGTTTGAATTACTCAGCTTGTTTACTAGATATTTAGTCAATGCTGATCCATAGAAGAAGAAAAAACAGTACTTTTGTTTTTAACATTACTGGACGAAATATATTTGTTTTAAAGTAGTTTTTTCATCTTTAAATAACCAATGAGTTTGGTCTCTGTGGTGTCTCCTGCAGGTCGTAGCGATCGACGTGGACATGGCGTTCTTTGAGCCGAAGATGAGAGACATCCTGGATCAGAACTGCAGCAGCGATGACGACTGTAACTTCTTCGACTGTTCGTCCAGGTGCAACCTGAACAAACGCAGGTGCAGCCCCCGCCGCAGGAACAGCAACCTGCAGGTGAGTACGAGGTGGGCCGCGAGTATCTGTTTCCTCAGGAGGTTTGTTCTTTGGGTCACTGTGGCGGCGTGATATAAAAATATATATTAGCTGTTGAGGAACGCCGCACTACTGGCAAATCAGAATTTCATTTCTGTCTGGGATGCAGCATTTAGATATGTTTCTGTTGAGAGATAAAATTTACAAAATATATAATCTTTTTGTAAAATGTGTGAGCTTTTTCTTTACTTGATCAGCAGTTTGGATTTATAGTTCAAATGACAAATTTAGGAAGAAAGTGTCAAAGAACATTAATTTAAGCACTTGCAAAATGCTTTTCTAAAAATAAATTAGTCTTTGAGACAAAGACAAGAAAAGCTGCAAAAGAAAAACAATGTATAAATCATTACTATAAATTTAATAATCATCAATTTATTGTCCTTCTGTTCTCACGTGTCTGAGCTTCTCTACAGATTCACCTTGGGTCTTATTTAGTTTGTGAAGCTTTTCTGTTATCTGCTATCTGTGAAGGAGATAGAAAGTATAACCCGAGGCCGAGTACGTTCACCTCAGCTCTAAACAAGGTCGTTGATAAATCACAGGATTGTCTGGGAATTCTGGGTAATCCATCTTTCACATTTAATTGTGCAGTAAATCAGCGTGTGGAATGATAATTACTGACCTGCTGACAGGTCGTGTTTTTAAATCCGCCATGAAGAGATAATATTTTATTAAAAATCTGGATATGCTTTAAATGCATTTTTATTTATTCTTTTCAGATACTTTAAAAGTTTTATATTATTTGCTATCCTGCTTATATGCCATTGTCCACAGGAACGAGAATTCTTATAATTTTTTTCTAACAATCTAAAGACATCTGTGAAAATGTCAGTTTTATTTAAGCGTTCATTATATACATTTTTTAAGAAAGTATGGAAATAAAAAATTATTTATGTTATGATTATTTTTGACATCATCTCTCCTCTTTGTCTTCAGTACATTTAATCATTGACTGACCCATAAATTAATCATTTGAAAGCCAAAATAATTTGTTTAAAGTGGATTCCCCTCATTTTAATTATGAAAAAATGGGAATAATCATGACTGAAACACATTTTATATCAAAAGGACTGATTCAAATGTTCTTTTTCATTCATTCATTTTGGTTAAAATTAATTATTATTATCTTTTCTTTCTGTATTGTGTGTCATTTTGATTCTTCAAATATAAAAGAAAACTGTCCGCACACTCTGTCAGCACCGACTTTATTAAATGACTTTTGGGTCGTGGAGGAAAAAGTGGGACAGTGAGCAGGAATTTAACTTTAACATTTTCTCCCACACCTGTCCACAAATTTATCTTGAAAAAGTCTACCATCTCATTTGTCTCATCACAAATTGCACTTTTTTACTGCAAAAACTGTAGATTTACCTTTTTGTGTAAAATTAAACTTAAAAGAAAGTCATGATTTGGTTTTACTTTAATTTGATCTTTTTGAATTTTTTAAATATATTTTACTTGTTTAAAATTGATTTAATCAGCGTTCTGATTATTCTTTTTGTTTATGTTTTATTTATCTTATTCCAGTTACCAATGTGCATTTAGTGTGTTGTTTTATGTGAAACACAAGAGATGCGCTGAGTAAATAAAGAAACAACATATATATGTACAGTATATAACATACAAGATTTTGCACTTCTGCTAATTTGCTTAACTAAAAGCATAAATTCAGATCTATATGCTTTTAAGATCATAGGGTGGCACATCATGGAGGATGAGTTATTATTATTATTATTATTATTATCATAGTGGCTAAAGCAACACCAAATATAATACATTTTGCTATTAAAATTATATTCTACATTATTACATTACACTTATTTGTTTTTTTTTATTCAGACCTTGTAAGTAGTGTTGATTAAATTAGTACCATTATCAGGAAATGTATTAAAGTGGTATTGTAATGAGCATGATTAACATTTCAAACAGTGTAATTTTAAAACAACTCATTTAAATAATTACAGATGTTATTGCGACTTTCAAATAATTCTAAATGATTATTTGCAATACTATTAATAATACTTCTTGATACTGCATCTACCAATATAGTTTAACAGCATATAACTAATTTAAATGATTTGGATTTAGTTTAAATAATAATAATCATTTAGCGGCCTCTTCTGATGAGACTCCGAGCGAAACCCCGACAACTTGAGGCCTGACGGACTCGGAGGGAACGTCTGGGATACAAAAGCCAAGCCGGACATCACCACGATAACGCCGGGACAGACTCTCATCACCCTGCCGGCTCCTGTATCACATGTCATATGATACGAGATACCTGCATTCATCATGTGTTCATATGAGACGGAGGGAAAATATGTTTCTACAGGTGATGACAGGATGTGATGCACAAACATGGCATCATCTGATGCTGGTGAGAAATGGGGTCTGCGGCTAGTTGTAACGTAAAAAAATAAGAAGATGGGAGAAGAATAAACTAAAGGCAAGAAGAAATGAAGCAAATAAAAAGAGAGAATACTAGGAACAAGAGGAGAAAAAAATTAAGACAGGAAAAAAGAAGATGAACAAGAGTTAAAACAATCAAAGAGAATAAAAATACAGACAAGGGAGAAGAGCGAGGAGAGGCAGAAGAACCCCCCCCCAAAAGAAAAAAAAAGGAAGAAGAAACCCCAGAAAACCAAAGAAGAAGAGACACTCATAAAGGTGATGAACAAAGACAGAGAAGAACAAAGAGGCAAGCAGACTGGTCATGGGACGGAAGGTGTAGATGACACGGTGATGACACACTGCTGTCCTATTGGTCCATCTGAGGCTCCACATTTGTCTCCTGAGCGCGACCCTGATGACCCCCCGCTTGTCAATCATCTCCTCAGAGAAAGGAAGCTTGTCCTTTTAACTCTGTGTGATAATAAAGCGAGGTGTCGTCTGCATAACGAAAATTAGGATCACTCACCTTTTGTCTTTTCACCTTTCCTGCCCTCTCTCTTCATGTTCTCTTCTTCTCTTTCATCCACTCGTCTGCGCTCCTTCGCTTTCATCCTTTCTCCTCCTCTTCCTCTCCTTTTACCCTTTCCTGTCTTTTCATCTACAATCATAACTACTTCCTCTTCTCCCCTCCTCTCCCGTCCTTTTCCTTTCTCTCCTCACACATTCACTCTTGCCTTCCCCTCATTTCATCTCTTCTTAATTTTCTCTCCAATATTTCTCTCAATATTCTTCTGTTCATTCCTCTCCTGTCCCTTTTCTTTTTCATCTCTTCTCTGAAGCGCCATCTTCTATATTTTATTTCCTCTCATTTTTCACACTTTCCTTTCATCTATGTTGACTTCATTCATCTTCTTCTTCTTTTCTTCACACATCTCTTCTTCTGTTGTTTCTTTCCTCTCTCCAGGTGATCTGTGAGAAGATCTTCCGGCCGTGGTTTTCTCCCACACTGCTCGGGGCCAAAGCAGGGCTCCCTCTTCAGGTAGGATTGTGTATATTATACTTTTATTCTACTCTATTTTATTTATATGTATTTATTGTGTATTTACCTGTATTATTTATTAATGTACTTCATAAAAATAAATAAAATTCATAAACAAATAAAAGACAATAATCAACTTAAGTACTTCTTATTTAATCTATCAACAGTGGAATTTAGTTGAGGCAGCTCAAATGCAGACAATGCAAAAGGGTAGAATTCAGTTGTTTGTTCAAATTATACTTGCTATAATAATGCTCTGTTTCTCTGTAGCTTTGAAAGTTTGCAAAAACACAGGAGGAGAACAAGGTGGGGTTGTAGATGAATTAGGTCGGTCTCAAACTGTCTTCTGTGGGTTTTTTGAACAGGTGGAGCTGCAGAGAGCGGTGCAAGAGTGTTCGGAAACAGTAGGAGGCGTGGAGCAGAGAGAAGACGATGAGATGGGTCAGAGCAGGGGCGTCCATCAGCGTCTCCTTAAAATCCTGACCCGCCTCCTCCAGGAGGGAGGGGCTTCGGGGGAAGGAGGAGGGGCCTGGGAGGGGAAAGGCCACATCCACACTGCACTGAACTTCTGAGAAGGTGAAGTGAAGACTGGTGTCCTTCTACAGTCTCTGACAGTCAAACATGAACTATAAATAAATGCTGTATGGCCCAAAGTATGTGGACAACACTTTCTATGTGTACTCTTGGTCTGGGTCGGGTTTTCCCGGTTTGGGCCTCTTAGTTCCAATGATGGGAAACCCAAAGCAGCTCCATAAAGAAATGGTGAAGAGCTTGACTGCTCTGCACAGAGCCCCCGACCTCAACCCCATCCATCATGTTTCGGGGGAACTTGAACACCGACTGTGAGCCAGACCTGATCAACAGGTTCAACATCTGCTGGAGAGACTGAAACCAGAAGGAGGCTGGCGGGTATGACAAACTAGAATCTATATCCCACCATCCGCTGTTTGTTGTACACAAAGTCTTTGGATTTCATGTCACTTTGGATTTGGTCACAATGAATGTGGAAACATCCAGAGCAGGCCTGGAGGTCTGAGTGAGAGTGATGCCTTCAGTGTCTCCTCATCTGAGGAGTATATTACGGATCCAGTCTACGAGGATCCTCTCTTCTTATCCAGTTAGTCTCAGTGAGATTTAAAAAACCTCAGTCGTTTGAGATACAAGCTGCAGATGTAACACCGTAGTAAATGTATTAATCACTAATTATATCAATGAATAGGTAAAAATGACTAATGGCTTCCTTCGTTGGTGTTGGAGCTCAACATTGGGCAAGATTTGGGCTTTTGAAGGCAGATAACTGATATTTCCTTAATCGAAACTGCCACAGTTAAGCATTTCCCTTCCAAACAGTTCAGTTTACACACAACTCTACATTAGAATATTTCCCCCATAACATACAGCATCTTTATTCTGTACATTTGATCAGTAATTCATTTTGGTTAAATCCACAATGGTCCAAATAAATCTTCTTCTCTTACCTTTAGTTGAGAGTAATGCTACAACGAGGGTCACCAGTCCTGCAGGGACAGAATATAAGGTCAGTTTGTTGACAGGTCTCTGACCTACACATCCTCCACATTCGTTATTCTAATCATAAAAATGTTTTCAATCTGGATCAATAATCTGAATCCACATAGTTAAAGACGAGCATGCTGACAGTCTGAAAGCAGTTGTCTGGGACTATTAGGGTCAGAGTTTGTGAACTCGTCATCTAAATTTGGTTTTAACTGAACAGTATCTTCAAGAGTTACATCAGTTTTAGGCAGATTTGGTCGAGCCAACATGGATCTGACAGTTACAAAAAAAGTATGGAATATCAAAAGGGCAAAAAAACTAAATGTTATGCGTCTAAGGCTACATCCACACTGCTACGTTTCTGTTTTAAAACGCAGCACTTTGTGCCTCATTTACGCCTGCCGTTCAGACTAAAAAGGTGAATCTGAACAGCTAAAATGGAGAAATTTGAAAACTTTTTATAAACTTCGTGGTAGTGTATTAGTGTGTACAGGTAAAAATGGAGAAGTTTGAAAACACTAAATAACTAAATACCAAGTAACACTTGTACTGTGCATATCGCCATATTTACTTTGCGATGACTCCCAGTGTGTTTTCTGCCACCACAGTCGCCTTGTACTCCTGTGTTACTTTCAGCACCAGTTCCACCTCATTGTCGGTCCATGCTAAAAAATCTCCGGTGTGGTTTGTCATCGTCTGTAGCAGATTCTTCTTTCTAATTATTCACTTCAATTCTGCTCCTTTATGGCCTCCGTAGATATCACACAAACTGATGAAGATTGGACAAAGATATTTTAAAGAAATTGTTGGAAAAATCTAAATGGTAGAACATCTTGAGACCAAACAAAGCCAAGGAACCCAGCGGAAAAATGTACTCACAGTTTAGGAAAACATATAGTGCTTTATAAAGGCAACAGGCGTCCTTAAACTTAAAAAAATATATATTTCTTTACTCGCGGCCTAACCTTCCTCCAAATCTTGATAAACCTGTTACCGATGTTTTGTGAACTCCTGCTAACCAACAGACCTTCTTGGCGGTGATAATTACAGATTCTTACATCATCGCGTTGTAGGATCTGTGCTGCAGTAACGATATGGAAGAACATCAACGTCATCTGTCTCCGGTCCACACACCAGCAAAGCACTTTCATTAGGATTTCTTTCTCCGACTGTTCATTCGTGTGTCTGTGTTTATGTCTGGGGTCGGACTGGGTCACATGGGTGCTGTGATATCGCTGAGTCAGCTTAATTGTAATGTACAGTGACTAAATGGTCTCTCCAGGACCAGGCTTGTGTAAATAGACAAACTAAATAAAGGTACTGTGATGTTTGATTTCATATGCAGAGATCAGTTGAATAATAAAATCTTCAGAACATGTGCATACACCTGCTGCAAGTTATTTTATTAATGTACATCAATATGTTCCAGATGGATGCTGGTAAAAGTTAGCGGCGGTGGTTTGATTGCTCTACTCTCACTCAGGCTTAACAACACTTCAACACGCCACTTAAAGGTGAGGACAGACTCACTGCCTCTTGCAATGATTGCCCCCATGACCTCTGTCCATGAAAACAGAGTGTAACAACTGTTAGGGGGGCAGAGATCTGTGGACTGGAGATGAAGGACGGTTTTCAATCATCAGAAGACGGACGAATGTTTCCCTGTAACAACTGTAAGTCTACACATGATCAGTGCTACAAACGCTGCTCACATCAATGTCTGTGAAGATCCTCAGTCATCCAGGTCGTACTTATCCAAGGAAGGTTAAAATTAAGGGAAACTAGATACTTTAAGATACTTGAAGATAGTGTTGTAGTACTCGAGACCGGTCTTAAGACCACTTTTTGATGGTCTTGGCATCGCATTTGTACTCGGTCTTGTCTCGGCATTTGTACTCGGTCTTGTCTCGGTCTCGGACATTGAGGACTCTGGATTTTATTTCAAGACCAGTCAAGACCATAACTTTGGGAATATCAATGATTTGCTTTTGCATTGTCTGATTTATTTGCTAACATCCTAACTTTTATTGGATGACTGTCCCCCGCTCCCCGCGATGGTCAACGTGGAAAAGGAGTGTTGAATAATGATGCTTACGTTGATTTCAGCTCTTAGTGTTTGTATGTGGGTGTTTTAATGGGAAATGGGGATCTTTTCAGATCAGTTTGAGAAGTACCTGTGATCTCGTTCCACATTTTATTGTGTGTCATGTAATGTGGGGAACTGGTCTTGGTCTTGACTTGGTCACAGTCCCTGAAAGTCTTGGTCTTGTCTCGGTCTAGATAAACTCTGGTCTTGGTTTTGACTTTGTCTCGGTTTGGGCGCTCTTGACTACAACACTACTTGAAGACGTTTCGCCTCTCATCCAGAAACTTCCTCAATTCTGACTAACTGACATCGAGTCCCAGTTATTTAACCTCCGTGGGGTCGTTATCAGTGTGATGGATACCGCTTGGTTCGTTAGTGTTTCCGGCTGTTGTAACTATAGTCGGTACGGTCGTTGGCACTGTCACGTCGGCCAAATGTAAGTGTTTGTTCACTCTTCCTGGGACAGCACTATAGGTGGAGGGTAAGTGGTGCAAGGGGTGCTCACATTACCAACGTGCGCCAGCTTGCAGTGGAAGCCTGCAAAACAAGCCTAGCAACGTTTGAGTATCAAGTTGAGGTTGCGTTAGCTCATTAGCTCAGTCTGTGGACTTGGAACTGGAGGTTCGCCGGTTTGAGTCCAGCACAGATCACTGTCGAAGGTGCCCCTGAGCAAGTCCCTGAACCCCTAACTGTTCCCCGTGCGCTGCACAATGGCAAGACACTGCTCCAAATTAGGATGGGAACAAATTCTGCATGCATAGTACTGTGTCAAAATTGCATGCGGCCAATAAAGTTGATTAGACTGAGAACAAACTGAGAAACTCTGGATGCTGCCGATCACACGTCGACGGAGAAAACAGCCGGATGGGCCGTGAGTAAAACCAGTTGACCGACATTAGTTAACTATTATTTCCAAAGTTTCTTAAATCAAAATCCATAATCTAAATTTCTCGATCTCAAAATTTTAACAGAAAGAATAATATAAATTCAAACCATCTTGTTAAAGTTATTATGGCTCCAACACCATTATTTCCGCAGTTATCCCTCTTCAGAAAAGAAGACACGCGTGAACTCAAGAATCAAGAAGGATTAGATGGCAGGAAACTTTCACAGGTTGCTTTCAGATCACACACAGTTGTCATGTAATTGGTTGCACATTGAAAAGCGACCAGGTAAACGCAACGCTCAAGGTCAGCACAAAGTGGTTCTGCTGCTCACTGAAGGAACTTTAGATGCAGCCATGTTTGTTGCAGATCAAACATCATCGCAGTTACCACTTGGCTTCGTAGATATGGCTTTCAGCTTTAATGTTATTTTTGTGACTTTGTGAGAAGTTGCTGGTTTAATAAACTTGGCCTTTTCGTGGCCTTCAAATCCAGAAGAATCCCGGGACACGCAGGAGAGCTGGCAGGTGTGTGAGATGTCTCAGCGCGAGAGACGTGGGCTCGGACTCGTGTTTGGACTCCTGCCCCATTATACAGTATGTGATCGCTGGTTTGTTCATCTGCAGCACTCTGGGGATTTAGTCTCACTGTAAAGCTCCTCATATATAAACACAGTCCTCTCGCTCGCTCTCTGCAGGAATCGGGTTTCAAATCTTCTCCAGCTGCTTCTCTAAACTCAGCAGCTGGAAGCTTTTTTTAAACGTGCTGCGAGTGACTGAGTTGAACTAAACACATCATTGGTGAGTTTAGACAAATCAAACGCTCCTCTCTTCTCCTCTGTAGTTCATGTGTCCACGCACAGCTGGGCGTGAAAGTGATAAGCCATGCTAAGGATTGTTATTTCTTTCACAGATGTAAGTTTCATCAGTCTGAACATCAGGACACCGGTGTAAGGAAGGAAGGTCTGAGGTTTTCCTCCAACAGCAGCGATATGCATCTATACGTCCTCCTCCTCCTCCTCCTCCTCTCCTCCTCCAGACGCCGGCCTCTGAGCTGATCAAGTTTCAGTGTTTCTGCAGAACTCAAAATGAAACCCGAGCTGAGGAAGCAGCAGGAGACTGAAGGTAGACACAACATGTCGGACACAACCTCCGTCCATCTGGATTGAGAGCTCAAAATATAAACTAAAGCTTCTATTTATAACATAGTGGATATAAAAAGGTATTTAAATGTGAGTCTGAACAATGCCCTCAGTTTGACACGAGACCGACCCTCTGTGGGCCTCAGGACTGATACGACGGTGGTGAAAGGATATACAACCCGGGGCCTCATCTGAAGGCTTTCAAATGCAGAATTCCTAATAAAAAGACTGTGAACTTGGAAGAAATAAACTTTATTTGTGTAACTCTGCTGAGGCCTCATTTTACTGGTGCAGAAATGTGAGGTCCTGATGTGTCCCCGAGGTGAATTAACTCCACTCAGACTGTTTGAAGAAAGAGACAGAGCAACAGACAAACTGGTGTCACCACATCAGTTTTATGGTAATGACTTACCTGGAAATCTTCCACAGAACCCGGCCTGGCATCTTTCCACTGTTTTCTTTTCCTTAACAACGCACACTGCAAAAAAAAAAAAAAAAGAAAGCTCTCACATTCAGATGAGTGACTCTCCTGTGAAACAGAAACTCTGTGTCTCTTATAAAAACTATACGATCTGTTTCTGTTGATATGAAACACCACAGAGAGCTGACAGCACAGTTATCATGAGCACTGTGCACTGTGCACACTGTAGTCTGAAAGTCCTCCAACATTTACCTCATGCTGTGTTTCTGCTGCCAACACGCAGAGTTGCTTCACCGACGAGTTTCATGGCTTATCAGACACCAAAAACACTCCACAGCTGTTCACACTTAGAGAAAGTTATCACAGCGACTATCATTTAATCCTCCGTCTCCACGACGGTGAAGCTCATTCGTCTATTTCCTGATGCTTATCCACAACCTGCATAGTTGTGCAGACGCTGGACAGCTGTGCTTATAACCTCGGTTGAGACTAAATTACAAGCTAATCTATTAGGACTGAGCGCTCGCACGAATTTGATTGGTGAATGCAGAGCGCTGCTGGATCACGTTGCCACTCATTCACCAGGTCACCCTGTGTTCTGACGCGACCACCTGCTGGTCTTAATGCAGGTCTCTCTCAAAACCCTTTCTATCAGAACCAGCATCAACTTTTTCAGCGGTTGGACCTACAGTAGCTCGTTGGATCGGACCACACGGGCCCACCTTCGCTCCCCACGGGCATCAATGATCCTCGGCCGTCCACGACCCTGTCGGCGGTTCACCGCTTCTCCTTCCTTGGACCACTTGCAGAAGACGAGAGTTCATCTGCATTTAATGTTTGTTTTTTTTTACAGGCATTTTCCGGAGTGTAACCATGAGCATATGTTCCCCGTGCAGACACTTCACGAAGAAAGAATTTCTAAAGAGTTGGAAATCTGTGGGTTTCAAGCTTCTTGCGTGGAGATAGGTTTGACCATTGAGCAACATTCAACTAATTTGCAGTGCGATCCTGTGTTTTTCCAACACGTTCTCACTCGTCACACATGGGCGCTTGGTCGAAACCGCTTGGCGTCAGTTTTTAACACCCTGGGTATACAGCTCTGCGATCAAGTTAGCAACAATAAAAATGCAACATCCGGTTAGATTTTCAAAATAAAACTAGTGGTTGATGTTGTGAAATGTTGCAATTTGGTTAGATTTAAGCACCCAAACTATTTGGTTAGTTTGAGGAAACCATCATGGTTTGGGTTAACGTTACTTGTGTTAACTTGTGTAACTTGTGCCACAAATTAAAACAGTCAGTGTTGACTTTTTATTTCACACGGGAAACAAACACCGGCCTCCTGGGTTAAAGTCCCGCTTCTGGCCCACCGTCCATCCCAGCCATCTCCTTACATGGACTTTTCTGTTAAACACCTACCTTTACATTTATTCTTTTAGCTGACGCTTTTATCTAAAGCGACTTACAGCAACTAAGGGTTAAGTGTCTTGCTCAGGGACACAATGGCGGTGTCGCAGTGGGAATTGAACCGTCCAAAGGTGACGTTACTGGGCTTCCCTACTATGACGCTAAGGGGCTGTCCAGAAAACTGCCTGCATCGGCTCTTGACCATGCTGGGAGTGAGAACAGGTTGGCTTTCAACACAGTGGTCAGTACATCAGGAGTAAAGTGTTAACGTCGGCCTGAACACAACCTCAGTGAGACGCTGAGCAGAAGTTTAAAAGGATGACTTGGACATTTCTTACAGTGCAGAGACGCACAGACAGCCCGGAGCACTTTTACAGTGCTGTTAAAGTGGCGTCACAGATCATCAGCTGATCTCCGAGTACAAACACAGAGGTGGTTAAAGTGTCCCTCACCGTGGCGGCAGAGTGAGCTCCGGCTGATAACCATCTAATCCACACTGAATCACCAAACCGAGCGTTTAACGTCAGCTGTCAAACACCTGCTGTCGCGTCGCCGATCGAGGCCTTTTCTGCTTTTTGTACATTTTTAGTGCCGACGCAGTGCAGATTTAGTCACATTATATGAGGCCCAAATGGAGCAGGAGTGAATATCTGAACACTTAACAGAATACTCTTTCCAGTCCGAACTCGCGCCCCGTCATGCAGGAGGAGACACGTTCAGCCGCCGCCGCAGGAATTCTTCCCGTGTGCCAAAAGAAGCTCATTAGCTTCCAGGTCAATAATTCTTCTTTAGCATGAGATCGTGTTTCTTTGATGTGTGTTAATTAATGTCTTCTTTCAGCCAGTAAGTCGGATTAATCAAAGCCGTGCCGCCTCTGCTCTGTTCTGTAAGTGGAGATAAATATCTGGTCGTGTTGGTAAGTGTGGGTTTGTTCATCCTGTCACGGGTGTTGCTGTGATGAGACGAGGTAACCAGGCGGTTTAATCTCAGCCCTCGGGGTTTATTCACAGTGTCAGAGTGTACGAGCTGTCAATCGCTGCATGTTTGCCTTTCATTCCCCCTGGAGATTTTACAGCTTTATTATCTATTTATATCTTCTGTAACTGTTGACTGTGTCGCTGTGTTGATTCTGTTTGTTGCTGTTGTTCATGTGAATGTTTCTGGTTTTAAATGAGACCAGAACAAAGAAAACACCAAACCCCGAATGTGCTTTCGGTAAATAAAGCTAGACCCAGTTCGGCCCAAAACAAACTGGGACGTTTTCCTGGTTTGGAAATCAGCGCTGGCTCGTTTTGGAAGTCACCTGCATCTAATTTCTCGATATCTAAAGTTTCCAGCAGCCTACTGGAGGAGCCAAGAGAAGCCGGTCTTCATTATCCCAGAGAGGAGCCACACCTAACTCTTAAATACACATTAAATCACTTCAGTTTAGTTTCACAAGAGAGAAAAAGTGGACAGACTGACAGCAGAGGAGGAAACTAAAAACTTGGACAAATAAACTGTCTGAACACATGATGACTGACACCTGTAGTCAACATATAATCTGATAATAGTCCTGCGTTGTTCTCGTAACTGCCCGCCTGACCCTTTAGCAGCAGGACGACGTCTTTAGTTTGTGCCTTAAAAATCCCTGTTGGAAGATGAATCTGTTTAAGGGTTCAGGCACAAAAACTACTTTAGATTTGAAGAAAACATCACGGTTTGGGGTAAAACTACTACCTCATTCAAGTTAGGGGAGCTTTGTTGTCATAGTTACAATGATAGCCACCTGGTAAAGGTCAGGGAGCGATCGCGGGTCACAGAACAATGTCGCTTTGAAACAAGACACACATGGCGGTCTCCTGTCTGGGGTTTAGCTGACCCGCCCCGCCGCCGCACACACATTTAATCAGGTACTGTACTGAAGTACAGCTTCAAGGTTTTTTCTTTTCAGGCAACTTTCTACTTCTACATTAATCGAACAGCTTTAGTTACTTTACGAATTAAAACATGTGGAGAGTTTATAAAATATGATGTTTTGAACTAAACTCCACAAATGATTTTTACAAGCACAGCTGAAACAATTAGTCGATTAATCAATTAGTCCAGTGGTTCTTACACAAAACTAGGAAAAAAACAACTTAAAAACAACTAGACGGACTACAGCTGTGAATGGAATCACTTTGGGTGGACACGGTAAATATAATAATATAATAACTGTAATGCCAACCGCTAACGCCAAAGAAGAATAAGGCCCCGAACAGACAGAAAGCACTTTGCAGGTTCAGTACAGCTTTTTTTGGTTGAATTTGGAAAAGAGCAAAGCGCTGCGTTTTTATAATGTTGCTGGGCAACCACCGAATCAGCTGTCCTGTCAGTCTAATCAAAGATTATAGCGCCAGCGATCTGTAATCTTTGGTTTGGCGCCGAGTAAAAACTTGATCACATTATATATAATATTAAATAAAAAAGGGGTCGGACTGCCAGAAAGGTTAAGAAATCCTGAATTAGTGGATTTACAGAAACTTGCTGCCAAACTATTTTTAAAAAATTCATGGTTTCAGCTTCTCTCTCGTGAAGATTTGCTGTTTTTTCCTCTGAATCATTGTAATAACTGTAACGTCTGCTGATCACGTTGAGGTTTGGACACGATGAGCATTGTGAAAGAGTCACTTTGGGCTCTGCGTAACTGTAAAATGAAAAAAAATCACTAGTTTAAAATGAGTTGCTGCTTTACATTAATGACGTCCTGATTATACTCACGTATTTTTACAGTGTGCTGGACTTTTAATGAAGTTAAGCATCAGCACTGTGCTGTAGTGGAAATGTCCACCAATGACGTCTTCCCCTCAGAGGACTCACACTGAAGCTTCACTGCTGTTCATTAAGGTCAAATAAAGCGCAGTCACTCGCTCAGCTGCTCGCTGTCGAGGCCGCCACAACGTTTAGTGCTCGTTTTCTGCTGGTGTGTAAATGTGTGTGTGTGTCCGACCGGCCCAGTCCTGTTTAAAGGTTACAGATGTTCTCTCACGGCGTCTGTCCATGCAGATACTTTTGGTTTTACGTGTCCAGGTTTTCAAGATGCAAGTGTCTGGATGCGAGCCTTGATACAGTGGAGGTGAATGGAAATGACTCTGTAGGACGAGATTCACGAGAAGCCGTGACTGCCTTCGTAATGACTCACAGTTTGAGCTCTGCTGCGCTGCTCCAGTTCAATTAAACAACACGAGATAAAAAGGTGATAAAACGGCACGTTGGTTCTGTTCTTTAGAAACTAATTTCACACTGTGTTAAGTCCGAACAGGGAGCAATAAACTGTCTGAGCCGTGATGAAGAGGAGAGAGAGAGAGAGGCCGAGCAGTGAGACATTACAACTTGATTTAATATTGATAAGACAGCGAGGTCGGAGCTTTCACAGCGGCCTTTCTCTACAGATTTAAGTTGTATTTCCTCCATGTTGCTGTTTGGTTTCATCCTCTATTATTAAGAAAAAAAGTAAAGTAATACAGACAAAATAGCTAAATGATCACCTCGAGCAAAGCAGCTGAAGTCCTGGAGAAGTCCCTGATGTGTAGATGTTCTCCGTTCTCCACAGGTCAAATGTTAAACTATAGAAAAACAAATGTTTGGTCATTTAGCATTAAAATACCTGTGTTAAACGTGTGCGACACTAACGGCTAAATCTTCTGAGTTTCTGAGGATGTTTTCATAATTTGAACTCTTTCACTGTGAATTTTTGATACTTACAGGTGAGATTTGAGGTGAAGTTTTACTTTAATGTCGCTGCCACACATCTTCACATGTCTGAGCAGGCTGACGACAACGTCCTAGAAAAGCCCTGTTTCCTCATCCACACACACACACACACACACACACACAGAGTTTCCTGCCATCTGGCTGCAGATGTTGCTTCTCTGATGACAGAACAGCAGCTTCAAAGACGACCTGCAGGCAGAACCTCACATATGTGTGCGTGTGTGTGTGTGTGTGTGTTGTAATACTAATGTTGTGGGGACATAAATCTGTTTACACAGTCACATTGTGGGGACTCACCTTCCTTATGGGGACAAAATGCCTCAAACGTAAATCACTACATTTTAGGGTGCGGACTTGGTTGAAGGTTCAGGGTGAGGGTTAGGCAAGTAGTGGTTATGGTTGGGGTAAGTCTCCTGACTTTGTGTGTGTGTGTTGAAAAAAAGTGATTTTACACATTTGTACAAAATACGTGTTCCAAGCATGCAGTAAACTAAAATTAAACATACAGTATGAAAGTATGTCTCTCTCTCTCTTTATATACTGTATATATAAGGGCTGACCTGAATATATAAGATTCGATGCTTCAATGGGCGGGGCCTGATTCGTCAATCTCACAGTCGAAGTTTTGCAGTGTAACAAGGATCACGCCATTTTGGCGATATGGGGGTGCTCAACGTCTGATTTTACAGAGAACTACCAGTTTTCTCCAAATAAATTAACATACAGCCTGTTACAATATACATTTCAATGTTTAATGCTGTAAATAAACATGTAAAATATTAAAACTTTCAATAAATGTTTTTAAAGTGCGTGAATAAATCCAAACTTGTAACCGTAACCCTGGGTCGTCAGTGTGCATGTGTAGGCGTAGCGTTGATACAGTCTATGGTGAAGCCTAGGGGCAGAAGAAGAACACTTGCTGAAAAGATGGAGCTCCAGCTTCACTGGTGTTGTGCCGTTGCGGGACTTTAATAATTTATCGTTGATGAACCACGCAAAGCATATTTTATCGTTTTTAAATAGGCGGCTACTTGAAATAGACCCGCGAGGGAGCGCGATGTGCAGGCAGCTGTCGGCAGCACGGCGTGCACGCAAAACTCTGCACAAGACGGTGAATTACGAGAGAGAGAGAAAATGGTCATATAGATATGACCATTATATACACACACAGTATACAAATAAACTGTAAATACACAAGAATACTTTATAAAAGTATTGTGAACACACTAAATATACTATATAGCATACTTTAAACAATGTAAAACTATATAATACAACTACTATAAATAAATTATATAAACTATAAAAATGTAAATGTTTTCATAAATAAATAGTATATAATGCAGTTCTGTGCATATTTAGAAATGATACTGTTGATACACTTTTTTTTTTTTTACACAGTAAACACTTTCACTATATTTGTTTAAATATATGTGTAGGTGTATTGAATGTGGTACTCGAAGAAAGAAGATGTACCCTGCGCAGTAGATCACAAGACAAAGACACAAGAAAAATGAATGTGGTCTGGTTTAGACATACAGTACAGTTACTACAGTATCTTGGTCGCTACCCCATTAGAGGGGGCCCGACCCCAAAGATCTAAAAACTACCACTTATCATGGACGTCATACGTGTCATCATGTCGTCAGGTGAAAACGTGAAACCTGGTTTGAACCTCGAGGTTTCTCTCGTGCTGCTGCTGCTGGTTTGGACTTCTGGAAGTAATCAAAGAGGAAATGGAAATTTACTGTACCCTGGAGGTATCAATGGGGCCCTCGACACCACCCAGAGGCCCCTGCACTGATGTATGTTCGAGCGTATGTGAGTTCTCATGATCTCAGTAAACCGTTTCACATGTTGGGACCTGAACTGATGCAATCAGAGAGCAGATCTGATTCCTCCACACGTGTTGGTTACGCTTGGTGTGTGTTTCACCTGATTGTGTAACTCTGACTGTAATGAAAAGATTTTAATCTCTGGCTCGGACCTTAAACTCCGGTTCAACGACACGCTGAACCCCTGAGAGCTGCAGACCTGCTGTGAGCGTGTAGCCCAGACACGCTTTCCTTTTTGGCAGGTTTAAACTTGCGCGTCTTCCTCCGTCAACAGACCAGAATCACCTGGATTTGGATAAAACATTTCACCCTCATTGGCTTAATTTCTGCAACACACCCCTACATATCAGCACGCACTCAGCAGAAGCACACAGTGTTTTATGCGACACACCATGACATGGAAACGGCGCCGTCTCTAATCGATCTTCCTGCAGGTTTGGATTTAAAGAAAGAGCACAAAGTTCGTTTTGGATGCCGCAACACATTCTCCCTCCTGACTCGTCACATACTGACGCTTAGTCAAGACTCCGAGGCAACGCTCTTTAACGCCCTTTAGGGTCCTTTTTTAACCGCAGTAAAGTTAGCAACGCTTAGCAACAATAAATGTGCAACGTCCGGTTAGACTTTCGAAATAAAATATTGCGAAACATCGCCATTTTGAAACGGCACGTTGTTAAAAGT